AATGGAACGTACTCTAACCCCAACATATAATGAGGTGATCTGGCGCGTTCAGAACTAGTCCAATTACCTCCATTATGGCTGAAGCGGGGTGTCTGCCATTTCGTCTAATACTAATCCAGCGCCTATCACAACTAGCAATACGACTTGTGGAAAAAAAAACAAAACAGTAGCCGACCTACCAGTGGTTAAGCGAGCATCTGATCTGTTTCTAGCAGTAACAGGAGTCTCCATGCCGAGCATCTGTAGTGTTCTAAGACTAACCAATAGAGAGTGGTATACTCCATCACCATCTATAAGTAACGACTTGAGGGATAAAGTAAATGCAGGCACTTCAAGTCAAGTTGTTGTGCCAATGTTTGTTGAGCTTGTAACAAATAAATACTCAACACACAGGAAAGTATTCGCCGACGGATCTAAGGACAATGAGAAGACTGGTGCGGGAATCGTTACAGATACCAAAAGAACTGCCTTCAGTTTGCCAGGAAACTGCAGTATATTTTCTGCAGAGGCTTTTGCGCTCAAAACTGCTGTGTCAGAAATTAGCAAAGACGAACCAACAATCATATTTACCGACTCGACCAGCTGTCTAGACGCTCTTCAAAATGGGAAATCAACTCATTCTTGGATCCAAGCAATTGAACGCGAAGTTATTGGAACTAAAATTGTGTTTTGTTGGATTCCCGGTCACGCAGGAGTTCTGGGAAATGAGGAAGCTGACAAACTGGCAAATCAAGGGCGGAAGGGAATTCCACCAAACATGCCAATTCCACCCCAGGATGCTGTGCGGTTTATTAAACAAAGCATTTGGTGTGTTTGGGAAAATGTGTGGAGACAAACCTGGGCACACCTACGTCAAATCAAACCGACTGCAGGCAAATTTGTTGACAGAAAAAAATCATCTGAGCAGCGAGCTCTTACCAGATTACGCATCGGGCACACTCGGCTGACTCACTCTCACGTGTTGGAAAACAAATCTCCACCAATGTGCTGTTTTTGTGGAACTCGACTTACTGTGCATCATATACTTGTAGATTGCAGAGGAGTTGCCGAATTTAGGCAAAACTGTGGAATCGATGGGACAATAACAAATGTTCTTGCAAACACCTCCAGCAAAGAAAAAGCAGTAATTAAATTTTTGAAAGATGCTAATTTATTCAAAGAAATTTAGTTCGTAAGATAATTCAATCTGTCATAAAAAAGAGACACGAATGTCACAGAAGTGATAAAGTGTCACTAATAAATAATAATAAAAATAATAATAGAAAGGAAAGGAAAGGAAAGTGCAGGATGTAAGAAGGAAACGCAGCGGAGGAAGACCGCTGAAATATTGGATGAAAAAAAACCTAGCGATGCAGAAGAAGAAACGTAATCTGAATGGAAGAAAATGTCGGACAGGAAATGGAATAAGATGCAGCGGAAGAAAGTTACCGATGACTGTTGGAAGCAAGTGAGTTCATGAAGAAGATGCTGAATGGAAATACAGAAGATGAATTAGAGGAAATCGAAGAAGATGAAGTGAAAAGGATGAAGATGGAATAGAAAACGAAAGTACGACAGAAGATGTGAATGAGTATGAAGATGCAGAATAATGAAGATAAATATGAAGCACAAGGAAGGAACGGAGAAATCGAAAAATAATGTGGAGAAGATATATGGAAGATCACGAAGAATGAAGATGGTGAATATAAAGAGAAGAAGTAAAGAAGAAATTTATGGAGAAGAACTGTAAAACATGAGATGGGCATGCAGACGATGAACCAGAACGAAAGGAAACGAGCAAACGATAAGAAAGCTAAGTGAATTTTGAATTTTACCGTAAACACTAACACTCACCCTCGTCTCACTCTGAACACACCCACACACTAGAGATGAACTAGCCTAAGGCTAAAAATCTCTTAAATAAAGAATTTAAAAAAAAAACACCCACACACTGTTTACACAAAAACTAATTCAACTGACATGGATGCGGGATGTAAAATGTCACTAATAAATAATAACAACAACAACAACCACTTACCAGGCGGTGATTGAATAAACACCATTTGGTGAGACCGGATGGAGTTCAACTTTGAAATCTGTGTATGGGAAATCGCTTTTCGCAGTCAATCGGTGATAATTTCATTTTATCATATCAACAGTTGCTCAGTGAAATTTTGAAAAATGATAAAGTCTTAAGCTCAACAGATGCGTAGAAATATTTCTGATAGATTGGAGATAAAATTATTGAAATTGGTCCAGAGGCAGCTTAGTTATTAACGTTCAAAATCTGTCATAATTTTGTTAAATGTTTTCACTAAGTGTACCCCCATATAGAAATTAGTAGTCCAACGTCAAAATAAACATATTTTGATTCTGACAATATTACGAACTGAAGTAGCGATGGGGATTTTAAAATCAAACGGAAGTTTACCGGTCTGATTTTTTTCGGTGCGTTTTGATTTTTCTAAGAAGAGGCCATCCGCAAATTATGCAAAGGTTTTTTTTGTGATTATTAAATTCCTATCCTTCCCTAGTAAAACTCTTTAGAGTTTTCCCTTTACAACCCCCGAAAATCTTCCTACAAATTTAAAATTTTCAGGATATTCTTAGATATCGATTTGGGTAAATGTTTACATGAATCGTCTTTTTAAAATTATTTGGAAGTGTTTTGGCATTAAACCACTTTTTTTTTTCCTCTGTTCGGGACATAAAACCACTGCGACCAGTAATTTGATCTATTGTAGTATATCCCGTGTCCTTAGTTTAGTGCATGTCGTATTACTCCATCACTATTGAGAAATGATGAAGTATTCGGTTTTGATACAGTTGTCATTCTTGCCTTTATCGCAAGGAATCGATTCCAATTGAAAGGTCCCGCTATTTATACCCTTCGGAGTGTTGAAACACCCTCCAAAGGCGCGCCCCTTTGTCAGTCAAAATTGGATTCCTTAGCAAAAAAAACAAGACATGACACCGATAATGACCATGCATCAGAACCCTAGTCTTAACCACTTCAAACTAGGAAACAACGAATAGAAGATTAGGAATCACATAGGTGAAGACTAACTAACTCATTTTTTCCTTGTTTCAAGATCATCCTCGGTCCACGCAACCCGAGGACTTATCACTATCAACAAGGCATAAAAAGTAACAAGGACTAAGATGTGTTCCTTTGATTACTGTAAAATCCTGTTCCCCTAGTTTGAAGTAGTCAAGACTAGGAATCGGTGGTAGATCTTACATCCCGTAACGTACCACGAAAAGGTGATCTACCCACGTTACGGAACCACTTAAATCAAATATGTTTTCCCCCTTCTATATGTAAAAATATCAACCCTCTCTCTCTCTCAGTTATAAGAAGCTGCAACTATGAATCCAAAAGTTGGCACAGTTGGGAACCGTACTGGAGAAATTTATATCCTTTGTTGCGGTACTGTAACCCACCCAAGTAACATTGCAGGTTTTATCGCGGTTTTATAGCATTCTACAAGTCTAAATCATGGTCTACAGAACCCTCATAAAACCAAAATTGTTACTTGGGCATACTGTACAGTAGCTCCTGCATATATGCGGTGGATGGTATCGTCCGCCTACCGCTATTTCTCGGAAAGAGGCCGCAATATGTGTTTTATATTTTCCTTGAAAATTTAGGCTTTTTTTACTTCGTAGGAGAAATGGCTCTAATGTTGGCCTATGGATCTAAGTTTGGGCGCATCGCTAAAAATCTGCTATTTATCAATTTGATCTAGATGAACGCGTCATTGGGACGGTACTAAAGGGTATTTTGGTCCCTATTGCAAATTTAGTCAATTGCTTAATTTATGTATGGGCCCACATGAGGGACATTTAGGCCAAGATTACATCCATTTCCCCTATATCACAAAATCAGCTATGTGTTTTTTTTTTGTTTTTGAGTTATATTTTTTAAAGTTATCAAGTCTTGGGTTTTCGGTTAATGCTCCTATGCGACTAGACTACCATGCGTCTATATCGATTTATAGCGACTGTAACATGGTCATGAAATAGTAGTCTAGTCACATAGAAGTATTGAGTAAAAATTCAAAATTTGAAAACTTCAAAAAAAATAACTCAAAATTGAAAAAATACACATCGTATATTTTGTGAAATAATATGTAAAAAAAGGCTAAATTTCCAAGTAAAAAAATAAAAACATGTTGCGCCCTCTGTCTATAAACCGTAAAAATTAAAAAAAAAAAACAAATACCATACATGTTTTTTTTAAATAAAATCCTCATTTTAATATCATTATATTTAAAACAAAAATGGGTTTTCGATTTCCTTTCATTTGATAATTTGGCCTTTGAAATCGGTGGTTCAAAAGTTATGAAAAGGTTTGAAAAAAGTCATTTTTGAAAAAAAAATCTACTTTTTGGATCACCCTAACATGAAAATGGTCACCCTAATGACAAATTAAAAAAAAAAAAACGAATCTGATATTATGCGCTTAGGAACAAAACTACAATTTTTTACGAAATTCTGAGAACTAGGGGAAATGCAGGTAATGTTGGCCTAAGTGTCTCTAATTTGGGCCCACACATAAATTCAGCAATCGACTAAATTTTCAAAAGCAACCAAAATATCCATTAGTAACGCCCCAATAACGCGTTCATCTAGATAAAATTGATAAATAGCAGATTTTTAGCGATGGGCCCAATCTTAGATCCATAGGCCAACATTAGAGACATTTCCCCTACTATATCGTTTTGCTATGGAAACTCTTACAATTCGTTGACCAAATGCTACATAGAATTGCATATAATATTTTTCCCTTTTTTTTTGTGAGCATAATTTGTAATTTTTTTGATTAGAATAGCATTTAACTCCAAAATACTACCTGTTGGTGTAAGAAAAAGTTAAAATATCGTGGAGGCGTGTATTACCCCACCGGCGCGTTTTACTCCATTTCCCCCTATATTTACTATGATGAAAGATGTCTAACATTTCAAAATAAATACAATCCTAAAACAGCTTCACAGCAACAACATATTTTCATTACTCACCTCGAAAAGTTGGTCGCAAACTGGTTGTAGATGAAAACTTTGTGATGAAACGGTCGGGCCAGTCCCTTGTTGGCCAACCGTATCAGATCAGTCTTGTTGCGGGGAAACCGAACCCGCTCGTCCAGCTCGTACGTCGGCACAACGTATGCCGTCTGTTGGTGCTGCGGTCGCCGGCTTCTGAGAAACTTATCCAAATGTTCGGCAAAGTTTACGCTTGGAACGATGTCGACGTCGGTCAGGAAAACGTACGTACTTTGGCACCCCTTGCGGGCGACGTTTCGTAGATGGTTCTGCGGGTAAGGATTCTTGATGCGCCACTTGTTGGTGTCCGCCTTACGCAGCTTTATCAAATCGTTCAACGTCGCTTCCGGTTTGGCACAATCGAACTTGGTAAAGTCACCCACGTGGATGCTTTTCAGATGGGTCGGAGCGCGATCCTTCGGCAGAGCCAGGTGGAAGCTGACCCGTTCGCGAATTGTTTTGAAGCAGTTCCTCAAGTAGGATAGATAAATCTGTAGCAGGTAGAGTTCGTCGTTTCCGGCCGCAAAAATGGCTGTCGATATTGGACCGGACCAATGGTGCGAGACCTGAACTAGAGAGTAGATTTTCTCCAATGAGCTTTGAGTTGCTAAGCAAACACTGTACTTTTCGGATAGTTCCGGGTACTTTTCACCAATCACAGCAAAATCGAAAAATTTGTACATTCTCCGGGCGTCCCATCGTCCTAGGCGAAGATCTAGTCCGGAAAAGACAGCCTTATCCGTGTTGTTTGTGAGCGAATCGGCCAGCACATACTCCAGACAGGTTGCCGGTGTGAGGATCGGGGCTCGTGGAACCAGCGAAACACTGTCCTCGACATTGGCGCTATATTGATTGCTGCAGTCGCCATTATGGAGCAGCCGTACGGTCAAAAACACATTAGACAAAGTTAGTGCTAGTACGCTGGCTATACTCAGATTCCAGAGACGACATGCCTGTGGGGAAGAGAGAAAACTTAATTGCTTTGGGATCGTAAATTTGGCCTATGTACGCCATTGGTTAACACTATGAATCAAATTAGGATTACGATTCCTGGACCACTCCCAAAAGGGGTTAAATGGATTCCCTCTATTCAATCGCTGTTTTGTCGTCCACGCAGCAAAAACAAATAAATTTTAAATGGATTAATTTTCGGAAAAGCGTTTGCAGTCCATTGACGATTCAATCCAAGCCCATCCATTAGTGCACATTTTTTATGGCAGTAAAGTTTTATTCTTGCTGTGTAAGCACGCAGCTTCGCCGAAGTCCTCCTCTCAGCTCAAGGCCGGCCGTTGTCCAGAGAGACTAGCTCTGACAACGCAATAATTAAATCAAGAAAAACTTTTAGCGGCTTAATTAGGCTTCCATGGTTGAATGGAGAAAGCCTCGCATTCATCCGTAGGGAACATTCAAGTCGAAGAGACAAATGAAGCTTCAGTTCATCCGAAGCGGAGGGAGCAAATTTTCATCTTCTTGGAACAAAGCAACACACTACAGAGCAAAATCATCAACAAACGCTTTAAGTTTAATGTGATTCCAGCGTGTTTGCACAGCCTCTTCCATGGCGAACAAGTGAGACGTAATTTAATAACGGGGCCTACGCAGGCTAAGTGGACCGTCAAATTGTAACGAATGACAAATTAGGTGGACCCAGCACTGGCCTTATTTAATAGGTAGGGGAAGCGCTCTTATTTTGTTTATTTTCAATTTGGGCAATGATGTGACGATATTTAACGTTGTTTACAAGTTTGAGATGTTGAGTTATGTTAATATTGTTTATTCAAACCACAAAACCCACGAAGATTGAGATTCAATAATTTTTCTGAGGCATTGCCAAAACTGGTGCACTTACCCTGAAATTTTTTCTCGTGGTTTTATTTCATCCCGAACATGAACAAATTTCTCGATACTTTAAATTGGTATGGGTTAGCCTGGCATAAGACGTAAAACACCAAAAAATAATACCAAAAATGTGTTGGCCCCCAAATTTGGTATCAGGAACAGATTAAGTTATTTTCTCATGCTCGGGATATGTTCAAAGTGGAAACAAAATGCAAATTTGTATCAACTCAACCCGCAGGAAACGTGAAATCAACCACACCATATGTTGAACCACACCTATATTTTTGATAGGAAAGGCCACCGCAATATGGCACAAATTTGTCACTTGATGAAATTGACTGTAACTCATCAAAATTCAGAGCGCAACTTTGTCAAGTATGGGGCGAAAAAAAAATATACCGGACTGTTTACAAGGTGCTGGTCGATTTCGGTTAGTCCTACCGTCCATGTGCCACAGAGAAAACTCGAAGGCCCACACCAAGCGGTCGGAAAAGTTTATGAGGGAATTCAAGCCCACCAACCACCGGCGAGCAAGCACACGATGTCACGACAGATTGAGAGTCATGACGAAGCTGATCATCGTGGGATTATTCTAATGCTTGATGAGACACTGAATTATTCAAAATGTTGGGCTGGATGTTTTGTCAGGTTTTACCATTTACTTCCTGCGCCCAGGGAGTTGGTTGAGTACCTACGCAAGACGGAAGGTGTGTTTATCTTTTGCGATTCTTGATTAGAGTTGGTGCGAAATCCTCAATACGTGTCCCGGGCGCAGCTGTTGGGAGTTATGAGTGATATAATTAGTTGTTCGTTACACTTTTCGAGTTTGTACTTGGGAAGAAGAGCTTTGTAAATAAACTCTTCCGTAGAATTAATATCTCGGTAATACTTACTCTAATTAATTCGTGCAAAAAGGTGTGGGACTGGGTTCATATGATAATTAAAGCGAAGGACTGATGAGTGTTTTGGTAGTCTATATTAAGGCAGGATATTTGCTGTGGCGCACCGCAATTTTACCCTTCTGCTCGTGAGATACATTTATGTTGGAAAATATTTAAAGAAGCTACTCACTTCACTGTGAAGGTATCGTTCTGATTAAAATCATTTAAACTAGAGCTCTCTGCACAGTAAAAACTTTTTTCATTATAATCCTTGATTAACCCACCTACCGGTGATACGTGCCTTTCTCGTGCCGCCAAGCTTCATTTTATACTCTGGTCATTATAGCAGGGGAGCATTTCCAGGCCAAATATAAAACACATCAGGTTTGGGCTTCTCCAATTTGTATGAAACTTTGCATAATTGTTGGTTATGGTCAATCATTCATATTTGAGTTTAAATTCGGCTGATTGGAATATTGCAAAAATCTCATTTGCTCAGAATTTGGGTGTTTTGTTCCTTATCATAAGAGTGACCATTTGCATGTTAGGATGGTACAAAAAATCGAATTTTTCAGAAATAACTTTTTCAAAAATGCATAACTTTTGAACCACTGGGTCGCTGTAAAAGATCAATATATCAAATGAGTTTTTTTTTAGGTTATCAAGTCTTGGGTTTTCGCTCAATACTTCTATGCGACTAGACTACTATGCGTCATGACAATGTTACAGTCGCTATAATGACAAAAAATTGATGGGGTTGTGTACAAGACACGACCGCAGGGTTGACGTAGACTACGTTAAGCTGTGTAGTGAAATTCTGGTGCATTTTTCTAGATATTACTTTAAAATACAGTAGAAGTTACTTATGATTTCGGTCCTATGTACATATTTTGGATTTCCTACTTAGTAAAACTTGGATAAATTCAGGACCTCATAAAAATGCGAATACATATTCTATTACAACTTGGTTCCTAAATTACAATCAGATATGAGTATGGCTTTCTTCAGGTGATTCATTGAAGCGTCCAAAAATGACCGTCATGATGGCTGATATTCCCTATCACTTCAAGTTTTCTAGGACACAAATCTTGGACGGTTGTGACATTACTCGTGTAATTGAAACTCCTTGTGTACTGCACTGCAGCAAACGCGAAGTTCCAGTTTCTTTGTTATAAGTTTTGTGAGAACTGATATCTGTACTCTTGAATTTTTTCTATGGTAATGAGATTGATCCTCAGCGATTCAACTTCAAAACGCTAAACATAACTGCACACACAAAAACGGAGTGCACAATTTTGCATCAATGTTATGCAACATTTCATAGTTGATCGAGATGATATCAATTTGCCATGAATCCCTCCAATAAGTTCTCGGTACATCTTTTATCTACCGATTGAACAAATAAAAAATACTAAGGCTGTGTTCCATTTGGAAAATGTTCACCTAGATTTGACATTTCGAAAATAAATTAAGATGTTCGACAATCCCTGTTGTTGATCGGCCGATTTTCGAGAAAGCGTCTGTCAAATTGATTCCTTGTCTGTAAGAAATAAGTCTGCTGGAACAGCAGGTTTATTTGTCAAATTTAAGTAAACATTCACCAAATGGAACACAGCCTTAATAACTTGAGCACAGAATCGTTTCTTGTTGTGTTTGTCGTACTAGATGCTAGATAAAAACTATCGATATGTGTGCTGAAAATACCTGGGCCGAGTGGATTCAAGGAGAGAGTCGACGAACGAATCTTGTCAGTGTTTCTTAGGATCTTATGCAATGTTCAGCTTGAATTGTTTCGCTCTGTAAACAGAAAATCGATGAAGAGAATCGAACATTTGGGCCCATGCATTAATTATGTCACGCTAAATCGAGCAAAACATTACCCCTCCCCCCTCCCCCTATCGTGACGTTTTTCCTATACCTAATGCATTGCTTGTCACAAAATCTTAGACGGGGGGTCCTTAGAGCGTGACATAATATATGCATCAACCCTTACAAACAGGCCCTCTTGAACGCTCACTGTCGAATTTCAGAACCTAGCACTGAAAAAAACTCGACGGTACCTCTATTTATGCTAAGAGATAAGCATCGCAAGTCCCTCCTACTTGAATAATTATGCAAAAAAAAAACCGGTGTTGTATAAACCGTTCTATAGCATAATTTTCGAAGTAGGAGGGACTTTCATAGCTAATCTAAAAGCGTAAATAGAGGTACCGTCTGATAATTGCAGTGCTTGGTACAAACAAACTGTGATCTTTGTAGGAAAATCCTTTTTATCACCACAGAAACACCCCGTTCCCGTTTTCTTATGCAAAATAACGCACAAAACGCACGAAATCTAAAAAAAAACCATATTAAGAATTTGTTTTAATTCAATCAATAGATTAAAGATGTACCGAGAATTAAATGGAGGGATTTCAAGCTAAAATGTTCTGATCGTGAAATATTGACTATCAATACTGAAATTTCACATAAATGTCCAACCCATTTTGTGTGGTGTATGCTGCTGATTCTCAGTGTAACCCAATGATTAGGGAACTTTCATAAATAACGTAGTAGTTGAGGGAGGAGAGGGGTTTCAGAAGTTGAGACCTTCCATGTATTAGGTGTATTGCAAAACACGCTCCGAAGGGGGGGGGGGTTAATTGGTGAAAAATATACGTAATTTATGGATGGCCCTAATTTTACTTCCAAGGCTGTGTCGCAATGGGCGAGTTGAATTTAACTCTTGGTTAAAGGCGATGGATGAGTTATCGAATAACCCTGCTATACGAGCGTGGTTATTTCGGACCGACTAGAAGTTAAATTATGGTAACCGTGGCTGAGTTCTGTTTGAAAACTTATCAATTTCCAGCATTTTCGAACATTGAAAATAACTTACGAAATGTCACGTTTAACCACGAGTTAAATTTAATTCGGCAATTGGTACACAGCCCAAGAAGTATATCTCGATTACTTTTTCGAAGGAACGTATCAGCTTTTGTAAACAACGCATTTGATCGTCGAGTTGGCGTAACTGGTAGCTCGCCCACGCATGCTAGTACTACCATCAGATAGGGGAAAATTTTCCCAACCTGTTAGCGGTGTTAGTATGTGGGGCGAGCTATTATTTATGCCAAACCGACGATAAAATGCGTTGTTTACAAAAGCTGATATGTTCTTCCGAAAAGTAATCGTGATTTGTAGTTATCATTCAGGCAAGGAGCGCTTGTGCCATCGAGACGACGCTGCTACCA